TAATGGGCCTAAACTTCGGTCCATTTTGATTTTATATAGTTTAATGACAGTATTGTCCTAAATAATAAAGCCACAGAGACGAGTCGAGGAGGGGTATCGAAGTCAATTCACTTGTCACGCCTGTCGCCTGATCAGATTCGGGGATTCATCGTCTTCGATTTCAACTTCTTCACGCCTGGTCAGAAAATTCAAAATGCCTTTCAACAGTCGAATCGACAACGTTCTCCGACGTATTTCCGGCGAGTTATTCTCACTTTAAGCACAAAAACTCTAGAGATTCGACTGTTGAAAGACTCTGACCGCTGCTAGAAATAATCTTAAGGCAAGAGGCGAGAAAGCGAGGTCTCTGATGGAGAAGGATGTTTTAGGGTTTAGGGAGAAAGCGAGGACTCAACTCGCCATATTGTTACTGCCCTTTTGAGGATTCAACGTTTAGTATTGCATGACACGAAGTCATTGTTTCAATAACAAAGGAAAATGCAATTTACTTTAATAACAAGGAACACTACAATTACAATCTACATTAATAACAAGGAAAATGCAATCTCCTTTAATAACAAGGAACACTACAATTACAATCTACATTAATGCCATCATTGATATATCTGCTTAATATGTGAAAGCTACTACTAACTTGTTTTTTTCTCATCTTATTATTTAGCTAACGTTAAGCTCGACCTCAACTTGGGAATCTCTCTTTCACTGGGAGATTGTCCAAAGCAAAAAGATAGGGCCCTCCGGCTTCACCATGTCTCTAACAATACCGTTTGTGGAAGGAACACCAAGTTGCAATTTTCTCTTTAGTGCACCAAATTTGATTTACTTTTCTTTCATATGCGTTTTGCAGCAACTGTTAGTCAAATGTTTCTTTGTCGATTTGTCATAGCAATTTGGAACTCAAATATACTGTCTCATTAGCTAGCTCCTTGTCACGGGCTTTTCTCAGAAAACCGGTTGTGACATTGAGCCCTCATGGTTTTTCATTGGTTCATCAATTTCTTGCTCTTCCATTTGATCTATTCACAGATGGAGACCCACATGGCTGCAGCGGCATGTGATACGCCTTTCAATTTTTTGAAGAGGGGTTCAGACCATCTTAATAACCGGCATTCCCTTCCTTCTGCGTTCTTTTCACCCGTGGTATATAGTAAATACATTAATTAGCACACATCTTGTTATATCCAACTGTTTGTCACTGCCACACATTTATAACTTGCACAATCTTTTGTACCTTTTGTCCAGAACTAATACACCATATGAAATAGAATGACAATGTATAAATTTATCGAACTTTAATGAGTAATTTGTGCGATAAAAATCTCAATTAGATGTTCATCAAGTGGTTACTGTTGTGATATTTGATCAGTTAAGTACTTGAGCTCAACACTTTGATATCCTTTGAGAAGAGTTCTGTGATTTTGCTTATTAGTTCTACTTCTATGTTGTGATATTTCAAAGAGCACATGTATATCAATCTCACAGAGAATATGAAAAAAATAGATTTGATGTTTGAAGAAAAAGACAGACTCCAGAGGCAAACTCAATACCAAACTAGTATATATTTTGACTCTTAGCAATTCCACTTTTGCTCAGCTAGATTGACAATTGTGGTTTCGTCGACATCCAAGATTTTGACATGGTTAGGATACATGTCGGGAAAAGAGCTAGAGGGGACACAGAAAGGTTCAGACTTTGTGAGGAAAATGGAGAGATCTCCTATGTCTTGAGTGTAAACAAGGCCTCCTTTATCATCTAGCTTGAACACCATTAAAGCTTCTGTTTGCATTTTTCTCGCAATTCCGTCGCTGGTCTCGGGTGTCTTCTTGTACAACTTAACCATGAAAGTTTCACCGGTGGTTCTTGACTCCACCAAGTGTTCGCTCTTGCAGCACGAATCTAGAAGCCTTTTGTTGTCCTTGGTCATATTGGGAATCTTTCTGAACCCCAACCTCTGAAACTTGGGTTTCTTTACATGTTTTGTGAGATCATATGATGCGATGAGGTGGCCTCCAGATCCAGGTATGCGAAACATGTCATCTTTCTTGGAATACATGACAGGGGAAGAGAAGAAGCAAGGATTTTCGACTCTAATGTTGATCCACTCGGAGTTACTCTGAGCGGGTCTGAAAAAGCTGAGCTGAGGTCCCAAGAACTTGACAGCCACAACACAGTCTTCATCCTCGGGAGAAGATGAGGACATTGCCATGTTGGTGACGATTTGGGTTTGGCAATGAGGAAGAGTCACAAGAGGAGGCAGAGAAATACGTTTTGGATCTGCATCCGATGCAACCAGGTTTAGATCAATGTCTTGGAGACCCATCACGCCGTCCTTCAAAGTAGTTAGCCATCCATTGGATGATCCGATCGGTCTCATTTCGTTTGTCAACTCCATGGGCAACTTCTTTTCCAGAGGAGTGCTATCACCAGCCCTCCTAATCACGAGTTTTCCGGGATCAGCTCCACAAGGATCAACGTACATGATGACACAAGGAGGAGTTTGCGGCAAGGAAGTAGATGAGAAGACTTTATTAGAGTGAATAGGAGAAGATCTTACAAAGACAGGTTTCCGAAAGCAGAGCGTCGAGGGCTGGCTGAGAAGCAGAGACATGATTCTTAAAAGAGAGCAAGAGAATTAAGAAAGAAAGAAAGAACGAGAAAACAAAAACCTAATTGAAGAATTGGTGATGGTCACATCTAAAACCCTCCATTAATAAAGAGGAAGGGACTTGGTCAGCAAGTTTCACATCTCCAAAATTAATTATGGTCTCTATGTATATTTTTTTCTTTCCCAAAAATCCTTTTCTCCACTATACCATATAACTCCCATTAACCTACCTTTAACGTTTCCTACTTTTAAACCTAAATAAACAAGTCAATATTTTCTGATTCCAAATTTATATTTCATGTCTCTATATTATATTTCATTCAGATTTGCATTCAAACATAAAGAAGATGGAGTTTGCGGGGAGCAAGATGAGCAGCCATTAGAGAGGAGAGTAGAGGGTCTTACAAACGAAGGTTTCCGAAAGAAGAGCTTCGAGGGCAAGAGACATGAATCTCCTTAGAGAGAAAGCAAAAGAATTAAGAAGATACTTGAACACAGGACACCAAAGCTTTACATCAATACTTGTATAGTTGTATCAAGCCAATTTCGTTTTTTCATTGTAACTTTCTTCAAGATAAACACTAAAAGGAAGTAGGTTTTTTCATTGGAAAATTGTATGCAATTTCTTTACCAAATGTTGCACTTGATGTAAAAACTTTTTTTTTTTTGAATAAATTTTACATTTTATTAAAAAAAAAAAAAACTCTTCTTCACAAAAACTCCAACCTTATAAAAAAAAAGTAGTTAAAGACGAAAAATGAAAACCCGAACAATTTAAGTATTATACCTAGTTTGAGACATAAACACACAGTTATTATAGTCAGCAACGAAGCTTAAATGAGTCCAAGATGCTTGCAATGTTGCTTCCGTGAGATCTACGCAAGAGATGGATAAAAGGCATGAGCTTCTGCACCAAACCCCAAAACAGATCAATCCTAGACATCGCCTTGGTTAATCTCAGTGCCTTGACCACCACGAAATTCCCAAACTCATTCCTCGCCAGCCTCATCAACGTGTCTTCATCGCAATCCAAAAGCTCCACAACCACCCCAACCATTGACTCCTCCGCCTCCAAAAGCTTCTCCACGATGTAGCTTCCATACTTCTTAAACGAGAGCTCAATGCAATGGCCATAAAGATTAACCGCGATGTTGTAAGTGCAACGCAAGTCATACAGTGTAAGCACATGTTGGACCACAAAGTTCCCTGAAGCATCGTTGCTTAGACAGAGTGCGTTGGATGCGACCAAGTCTAGTAGCTGATCTCTGTAGTAAGGATCGTCAGCGTCGGTTATGATATCGTTGAGTGCGATGCAGCCGTGTTGATCACACGCTAGGTCGAGAGCGTGGTAGAGAATGTGATCGTACATTGCTCTTTTTATCTCCTTGTCGAAAACGACCATGGCTCGTATCGTCACGTAGGATGCGTATTTGTCGGTCGTGATGTGGAGGAAGCGGCGCAAGATAGCGGCACAGAAGAGCGCGTCCACGTCATCTGATTTGCCGAGGAGCTTCTGCACGCGTCTCGAGCCGTACTTGTTTGCGACGATCGCCATGAAGTAATCGGAGTCTGACGTCAGCAACGAAGCCATCCTCTGAAGCACTGTTTTGTCTGACTTTGAGATCATGTCTTTAAAGTAAGACACACCTTCGCCGTCAGTCATTAGGTTGAACAGAGCTGCGTGCAAGGGCGTGGCGGAGGCGCATGGGGCGAATCCAGGAGGAGGAATGAAACCGGAGATTCCTTTAGAGTATGGTAAAGCATTAAACATGGTCGACATTGAAAAGGAATTATCGGCGACTGCCATTAATTGATGTTATCTTTTGATCTACAGAAGTTACTCTTGAAAAGGGTTTAATATTAATTTGTGTGATTTTGGAGAAATATGAGAGACTTGTGAATGAGGAAGGGTTGGATCTGTGGTGATGCTTTTAGTATTTATAGAAAAGTTAGGGCTTTTGTTTTTCTAGTTACAATTCGGATTACTACTAGGAAAAGGAAACTAATTTGCTGGAGTTTCCTTTTTTTTTTTTTTTGCTAACTATTTGATTTTAATAATAATAATCTATCTGAAAAAAATGGAAACAAGTAGATTTTTTTTGTAAATCGACAATATTTAGGCACGAAAATCAAATTAACATAGTTTATATTTTAAAAGGAAAACAACGAGTCAAAGAACTTTGCATAAAGTGAATAATTCGTAAATATAAGCAATCTGCTCTGTTTCCGACCCATTTGGGCTATAAATTTAAGGGCAAGAGAACTCTCTCTATTTCACTACTCATACTTCCAAATTTTTAATATATAGCAATCTAAAAACTAAATATAAGAAGACGCAATAAACACTCTTCTTTCCCCTAATGGCAAGATCAGATTGTAAAAGTACAAAAAAGTGTCAAAGAAGAGACTTTTATGGTTCTACAAAGAAAACACAAAGAAAAATGAATATTTTCTGCTACTTACAAATGTCTTTTACCCCGGAAAAGAATGGAGCAAATAAGGGTCTCGAGGACTAATCATTTAAGAAAAGAAAGTAGCAAAGTATAAAGAGAAGAAACAGAGAATCTATAAATCCTGCCTCTGCATTCTTCAAAAACACTATTCTTCCTAGTTTGATGGATTCTCATCATCGCTTCCTTCTGGTGGTCCATGTAGCTTAAACCTGCATTTGAACGAAACCATTCTTCTTCAGAGAGTTGTGAGAAAGAAATAAGAACTTGTTGGTGCAAAAACAAAATGGATCATCACCTATTGATGAAGAAATTTCCTTCATTGTACATCACTGTATCATCTGCGCCTTCCTGTGTGAAAGATCCGATAGAAAAAACCACAATGAGAAACACTTAAACTCGAACCAAAAACCAACTCATGGTACGTTGAAGTATTTGATGGAAAGAGTCTTCTTTTATACATAGTACATGCCGACATGAGAGCCACAACCGATACAGAACACTGGATGCATAGACTTGTCAACGTTTCCATTTACAGTGAATTCCATTATATCAGCATCAATCACCACATTGTAGCTGCCACCAAAAGGGTTTTAAGTAAAAGCACAAGCTGTAACAAAGTAACATTGAATGAAATCCGAAGCATGATTTTACCATTTGGTGATGCAATATAGTTTTCCAAGGCTAGGCGGATATTGAAATAGCAGATTCTGCAAAATAAAAACACAGAAATTCTACTAGTTGTTGATTCTTGCTTGAATTCATCAATGACCATCACCAATTTCAAGAAACAAATAAACCAAATTCGAAATAGAAGAAATCGAAAGAACCAAGTTTTTGAGCAAGAAGCGTATATCAAACCCTATCGATTGGAGGATCTCCGTAAACAACGAATTCAACTTCGCAGTGCTTGCATTTGTAAACCGATCCCTCGAGATCTATCTTGAATAATCTTCCCATTTCGTTTGAATATTCCCACCAGATCTCAGTATCTACGATGATACACGAACAACACAAGATTCAGATGAAGTCGATAATTGCAAAATTACAAGTAAATCTCCAAATAATACAACAATCGAAGAGAGAATTTGTTAGCCAACTCCGAAATTCCAGAAATTAGAAAACGATTATCAAGAAATCGCCCCGTAAAACTTCACGAAAGAATGCATCAAATTGACAAGAAAATGAAGAGGAATCACCAAAAGCGATGAGGATATACTAATAGTTAAGCCTACTACTTCGAGAAAGTTCTAAGATTCCGAGAAAATCGAGATCGTTGGATCTTACCCAGAGCCAGAAGAGGAAGAAACGCCAAAGAGAAGAGGAAGAAGAGTTTTCAAATTTCCCAAAGAATCGGTTATTTATATATATACTAGTCCATGATCCATGATCCTACGGCCCATTATACACGGGCCCAGTTTCCAGTATAATAAACTTTTTGCGAATTGGTCCACGTTGGGTTTAGGGAATAAACCGGGAATGTCGAGTTGAAGGGAACCGGATCTATATCATGGTTTCCTTTCCTGTAACTAACTTTATCCTCCTGGGTTTGTTTTTGGTTATAAAGACTTGTAACACGTAAACAAATCAAAATGCCTAATATTTGAAATCATCTGAAAGTTTTATGCTTTTTAAACGACATCGCTTTATTATTATTCTCTAACTACAAAAAAAAAAAAAAAACCAAACCGATAATTACAAAAGTAATTACACCAAAAATCACCAAAACAACACATATCACACCAAATCCCTCTTCATTTTTTTCGAGCTGGTTTTCGAATTCTCTGTGGCTGATCCCGAATTGGTTATTGTACCTAGTAATGAATGCTCTATGGTCGGTTAAGCTGATTCCATTAGCTCCACGCGTATAGTTAAAAGAACTTCCACACCTAAAACGTAACAAAGGAAGCATGAAACGAAATGTTTGTATAATTTTCTAAAGCAGCCCTTAACAAGACGAAAAAAGGAAGAGATACCTGCAAGTCATGTGGTCGCATCCGGAAGAACGTTCAATCATGTGTTGGCAATTGCTACATTGACGCCACTCGCTAAGATTTGCTAATGACTTGAGCTTTGCATCATCATTTTGAGTATGCAATCTCTTGTACCTGGTGCATGTTAGCTTACTATGCCACGGAACTTTGCAGTGAATACAGAAGTCGCCACCGCATTTGAAGCATCTCCTACGTCCATATTCAGCAGATGAAGAAGAAAGCTCGGTTTTCGACATTAGATACGAGCACCTTTGGTATGGACAGTAAACTCTCTGGCTATAAGGTATTGAATCCTCTCTAATCCTCTGCTTCCACATCAAACTCAGCTTTTCATTCAAAATCTCACCACATCTAGCCATAGATAGCTGACACTTGCAGAGAGGCTGAGGACAGTTCGGTTTCATTCCATCAAGAAGCTTCACCTCGATATGTGATTTCACACAAGTTAAGCAATATCTATGACCGTATACACATGCAGAAAACATGAGATCAGGATCAATGTCTTCCATACAGATACCGCAAGTATCTTTCTTAGCTTCCTTGGCTTGATAAAGCATTGACATAGTCAATCTATTCTTTTTTTTGTGCACTTCTTCATCACAGGGAGTCTATAGAAAAATTTAACATCTTCATTGAACATCTTGACAGGATTGCTAGATATGAATCTCTTTCTCATAACTTTCACATCATCCATTAGCAATGCAATCTTTTTCTCCTTGTAATCCGATATTTCCGAAAGCTACGTTCAAAAATCAACTCAACGTGTTACATATATAAATTCCAGTATCCTATCTAATCCATGAGATATTATAACAAAAGATACGTGAATCTTACGTATTTGAAAATAGGAGGTAGACGGCAGTATATAGAGATGTGATTGATCCCCAATTTAGTGGCTTCTTCTAGACCACGCATCAAAGCCCTAACCTCGGCCTCCGTGGAAGTCATGTAGTGGTCATGAAGCAGTCCATTACTCTTAAACACCAGATTATCCTCGTGGTCGCGAATTACAACATCAAATCGCGTAGTTGTGACCGGCGTTTCGCTCTTGGACACTATCTCTACGCTTACCAAACTGTTGAAGTAAAGCTTGTGAAATTGAGGTTTCTCTTTGACTTTTCTCTCGGCGGAGTCAATCAGTGAAACGCCGTCTAAATCCATTTCACAAGTAGCCATGTGGTGCGACTAATGTGGTGGTGACAATGAGATTTTATGATGATTCATTCATATATAGTAGTAGCATCCGAAGCCCTCAGAAGAATCTGCGAGAGAACAAAATAAAATCTACAAATTAGATTCGCGAAGCTTCAGGATCCTCGTTAAGATAATTCCGAGAAAAAATCGGGGGAAAATAATCAGCGTAAATCTATCCAATTTTTTCTTTTTTTTTTTTGGTAAAAGATATCCAAATTTTTTTGTCTGAAACGTCTAGCTCTTGCGATCATTTACTACGTCGTCCGTGAAAGCTTCACCTAATTACAGCGAGCAGCGACGGCGGCCGTTCTTCGGCAGTTGATAGCTTTTGCGACGGCGGTGGAGGGAGATTGTAAATTTCGACGCAATAACAAGGGTATAATCGTCATTTGTAATATAGAAAAAAAAGATGTAAGTCAACGTCGTCGTTCGTTGACTCTTTTAAGATTCGGTTTACCGCTAAACCAACCTCCCAGTCAAAGCTTTCGATTTTGTCCACGTCACCAATATCGGGATACGTGAAACCATCGGGTCCTACAGACACGTAGGCTAGTTTTGCCACGTCATCGAACACCAAAATAATATCTTCTCTGACCTTTTTTGTTCCACCACCTCCCCAAAAGTCCCAATCTTTCAATCTTCTCTTCATCTGATTTAAAATTTCTTTCTTTTATTTTAGTAGCAATTGGATTCTGTAAAGTTGTTGGTAAGAGAAAAAGTTAGATACGAATCAAAACATTTTTGGATGATACCTTTCATTTAGAGTAGGTGATTAAATTGCTAAGCAAAAAGTCTGTTCTTTTTTTCGTTGTAATTTGGTTTTTGAAAGTAAGATATGGTGAGAGATTCTGGTGGTGGTGGTGTTCTTCATCTATGGATTAAGCTACAAAGGTTTGCTTTTGTTTGTTTTGTCGCTTTGAAAATCTGCTGCTGTTTCAAATTCTGTACTTATAATAAGTAGCATAGCTTAGAGTTTGATTTTGTATCTGGGTTCTGAGGAACTTATAACAACTTTGAAGAAAGTAGGAGATATTACATCTAAGGAATAGAAGAGACTGTGTTAAAAGTTTCTTAACTCGTTGCCAAGTACTGTGATGATTTTCTATTGGTACATTCATAGCTTTTGATTTCAGAAACAACAAGTTTCAGATGTTTCCTAAAGCTGAGTGTGCTCTACTATTGAACTTTGATTTGGCTTGTTTAGTTTTTCTTTGGGCAAAGTTTGAGGATTTATCCAAATTCAGTTTTTGTTTTGTTTTATTCTGGTGTGAGTCTGTGATGTTCTTACGGAATGTTGCTTTTTTTGGTTTCTCTTTTCTTATTGGGTTGTGGTTTTGGTGAAGGGATTAAAATAAGTTTGGGGAAAGAAGAAATGTGCAAATGTTATGTCAGTGTAGAGGGGAAGTTTCTGCAGAATCTTAGCTGTTATTTGATGCTGCTTCTATTCTATCTTGTTCATGGAGGCTGGTCTTGACACTTTCATGAAATATTAGTATTCTAAAAATGTGTTTTAATAACAACGAAACTGGTGATGAAGTGAAAACCGAGAGGCAAGTGTTTGTTTCATCCGAAGAAGATGAATTTCGAGTTGAAGATACCCCTGGAGATGCCAACAATTTGATACAGATTTCTCAACAACAACAGCAACCGCTAGCTCCTGTTGTTAAGTGGGAGAGGTATCTCCCGGTTAGATCGCTTAAGGTTCTTCTGGTGGAGAATGATGACTCAACACGCCACATTGTTACTGCCCTTTTGAAGAATTGCAGCTATGAAGGTTTTTTCTATTGAATCGATCCATAAGACACTTGTTTAGCAATCACATTGTTGCTTTTGACTAACAGTTGTAAATTTGGATACATTTTTTCAGTCACTGCTGTTTCGGATGTCCTTGAAGCCTGGAGAATTCTAGAAGATGAGAAGAGTTGCATTGATCTTGTATTAACAGAGGTTGTCATGCCTGTGCATTCTGGAACCGGTCTGTTGTCCAAGATTATGAGCCATAAGACACTTAAGAACATCCCCGTCATAAGTATTTACTTAAATCCTTAACTAAATTTTTGTTTAGCTCGTTTCAGTATGCGATGCTCCGTTTGTGTAACTCAAGATGTGATGTTTTCTTTTTGTAGTGATGTCATCTCATGATTCCATGGTTCTGGTCTTTAAGTGTTTGTCAAATGGTGCTGTTGATTTTCTCGTGAAACCCATTAGAAAGAACGAACTAAAGAATCTTTGGCAACATGTCTGGAGAAGATGTCACAGCGTAAGAGTTTTGCTTTGGTTACCTGTTTTACAAAAGTTATTCTGTGTTTTTTTTTTTACTTATGCGAATCTTGATTTACCAGTCTAGCGGAAGCGGAAGTGAGAGTGGAATACAGGACAAGAAGTCGGTGAAACCTGAAAGCACCGAAGGGTCAGAAAATGATGCCAGCATCAGTGATGAACACAGGAATGAAAATGGGAGTAGTGGCGGTTTGAGTAACCAAGATGGTGGGAGTGATAACGGGAGTGGAACTCAGGTAATCTGTTTCTATGGCTATAGATAATAACAATGTCTGAATAAATCTCTTTATAAATTTTGGATTGGTTTTGATTGATTTGTAGAGTTCTTGGACGAAAAGAGCCAGTGATACTAAGAGCACCTCGCCTTCAAATCAATTGCCCAATGCACCCAATAAGAAAGAAACCTATGAAAATGGATCGGTACATGTTAATAAACCGAAGGAGGTTGAAGATCAGAAAGAACAAATAGGTAAGAACACAATTTAATTAGTCAATTAAAATGTGAGTACACTGATCTTGTGGAACAATTCCTTGAGATTCTCTCTGTTTTACCTTAGATTATATTGTAATAGGCACGGGATCACAAACAGGAATGTCTATGAGTAAGAAAGCTGAAGAACCAGGAGATCTGGAAAAGGATGCAAAGTATTCTGTTCAAGCTTTGGAGAGAAACAATGATGACATGCTGAATCGCTCTTCTGGTAACTCACAAGTAGAAAGCAAAACATCTTCATCTAACCGAGAAGTTTTGCAATCACTCGAGCAAACTCTGAAAAAACCAAGAGAGGCTGGAGATTACAGAATCGGTGATCAAAGTGTTTTGAGGCATTCACATCACTCTGCATTCTCAAAGTAAGTTCTTGACCTTAACTGCTAAAGAACTGTGGAACCTGTGACTGATTTGGAGTTATTGTTTCTTGTGTCATATGCAGATACAATAATGGTGCTACTTCTGCTGATAAGGTAATTTTTACGATGCTTGACACTGTCTTTGAAATCTATGCCGGTTTCATCATCCTAAAGCTTTAATATTTGGTGAGTTAGGCTCCAGAAGAAAACGTGGGAAGTTGTTCTCCTCATGACAGTCCTGTTGCGAAACTGTTTGGTTTGGGTTCGAGCAGTGACAATCCTTCAAATCAGCAGTCTAGTGGAAGTGACCGTTCAGCACAAAGAGAAGCTGCTTTGATGAAGTTTCGCCTTAAACGTAAAGAGCGATGTTTTGAGAAAAAGGTAAGCTCTAAACAAGCTTAAGCTCTCGTTTCCTGGGACAAAAGTTATCGCCTTTTTTGTATGCTTCAGGTTAGGTACCATAGCAGGAAGAAACTAGCTGAGCAACGGCCTCGCGACAAAGGTCAATTCATTCGCAAGTAAGTTCAAATCCTTTTCAAGATTTCTCCCTCTAGTGTTTCGAAAAGTAAGTAATGAATTCACATGGAGTCCTTTGCCTTTAGGATGGATGCTTATAAATCAGGAAGTGACGACAGTTGAACAACAAAATTGGAATAGAAGAGAGATCCATTTCCAAGATCTGAAGAACAGAAGAAACTTTCACAAAGTGGCATTTTTCTTCATTTTTCCATTTTAAAAAATAAAAAGTAGTCTTGGCTAAATATCGTATTTTCTATTCTACAAACATAATAATGTTGCTATAGTATTTCTTCTCTAAAAACAATCATTTACTCATTAATTCTGATTAACATTTTTTAAATCTTCAAAAGTCTTATCTTCTTAATGACACTTTATTATTTAATTTTCTAATTTTTAAAAATAATGAGAGCGCATAATCTTCCGTCTATATATATATATCCTCCGGCGAATTCATTTAGTTCCCATCATCCAAATCTCTCACATTCTCTTTCTCGCTCTAGTTTTCTCGTTGAGAGTCTGTTACTCTGTTTAATTACAAGTTTTTTCCGGGAAAAAGTTTCTCGGGAAAATAAAAGAAAAAAGTCTCAAGAAAGATTCATCTTCGTTGATCGCTACGATGAAACGTTTCTTTTGCTGTCTCAAAGGAGGAAGCTCACGTAACGCAGGGCAAGGTAACGACGAGAACGACGAAGTAAACCTCGACCGACCATTTGGGAATAATGAGCGCCTCAATCATCTTTGGAGAAATCATCTCTCACTTCCTGACGATCGTGAAGTTGCAGGTTCCGTTTTCGCTTCTCTGTTTCAATCTCTTGAAATCGAAATCGAGATTTCTTGTTTTCTGGGTTTCTTGTACCTTAAGCAACTCTGTTTTTAAGAAGTTTCTTACTTCTTTGTTTTGATCTCGTCACGTTCATGCAAGTGAAAGTAGTATATTAGTTCTTCTTGTTTCGAAACAAAGTCTCGATCTTGTGAACTTAAACTGATTCGTTAACGTAACACAAGAAATTGATTTAGGGTAAATCTTGTTCGATCTTTAAGTTTTGGTGATTCATTTGCAGATCCGAGTGCTCGTTTTTTCCCTATATCTCCACCTCTACCTGATAATTGTGGAGCATCATTTCTATGGCGCGAACTCGTAGACGGAACAATAAACTTCCGGGACGAATATTATCTCGGCAGAGGCAACTTCGGCGAAGTCTATCGCTGCCGTTTCTCAAGACTTACTGAGGTATATAGACCCAAAAGTCATGTCCTTAATGGTTAAATATCGAAACTAAAGTCTGCAACTTTTGATTTCATTAGGATGGAGCCGTAAAGATTCAAAAACCAGACAATCCAACTGGTCATGTTGAGTTCTTGGCAGAGGTTACAACGTTACATGCAGCTAATCACCCAAATGTGATTAGACTTCTTGGCCACTGTTACGGCCAAAGGAACCGTGCTATAGTATACGAATTCATGCCCAATGGCTGTCTTGAGCGTCACATCTTTGGTAAAGAAAACTCAATCAAACCTAATTGATGACTCTGTTTTAGTTTCCGGTTTGTTAATCAACTCCTTGTCTTCTTGTATAGCACACGCGACGAGGGTTGAGGGTCCGTTTCCTCGGGGTCTACATCTACCAATTAGGGTTTTGGATTGGGATACGAGGATGAGAATTGCTTTGGGTGTAGCCAAGGGTCTGGTTTATCTACACGAGGAGCTGAAAGTGATTAACCGAGATGTCAAGGCCGGGAATATTCTACTTGATGCAAATTTTGTGCCGAAGCTGACTGATTTTGGATTGGCGACTAAAATCGAGGTAGATGAAAACGGTGTTGAGAAGCAGATCCTGATCAATCCGATGAAGGGATCTTTGGGATACATTGCACCGGAAGGAGAGATTTCCGGGTTTGTTTCGACTAAGACTGATGTCTATAGCTATGGAGCTCTTCTGTTAGTGCTTTTCACCGGAAGGCAGCCTTTTTATGTGAAGAAACCTCTTGGGATTAGGGAGAATCTCACTGAATGGGTATGACTCAAACTTTTGTGTTTAGGAAATCTTTATACGTTTCGTGTTCTGCAAGTTAAGATCCAAATCTGAGTTTTGTTTGGATGTTCTATTTTTGCAGTTTATCAGAATATTGCCTAGACTCGAGGATGCGCCTGTGAAAGTTGATGTTGCGCTCGGTTATAGGTATTCGGTTGAAGGTTTAAAGAAGATATTTGATACTGCGAGGATGTGTTTAAAGACAGAGCGACTTGAACGGCCTACCATGAGTGATGTGGAAGCAATGGTTCTCGAAGCTGCATCTTTCCCGGTCCAAGTGCCGCCGCCCCAGGTGAAAAGGAGGCATTCGGCTTCGAAATATGAAGTTTTCTCAGGCGGTTTTTAGTAGGCTTTTTATTTTGGTGTTTGTTTTTTCGGAAACATATTATAGACTTGGTTTTGGTACTGGTTTTACCATTTAAGATGAGATCAGTTTGTGAACTTTTTTAGATGGTTTTGTTCATCAGCTTTTTGAGATCTTTTGTCGTTATGAAACTTCTTAAAATAGGAGTGGAGAGGAAAAAGCAAAGCATAACTGTTGTTATTGGAATTTAGTCAGATGCTAAGTCTTTCAAATTTATTTCTTTGATTCTGCAACTTATAAAAGTCACGTTTTGAAAGGGCTTGACTCTTGATCATATATACCACGAGAAGCTTTATATATGATTTGAATCAGCAGTCTAGTGATAGTGAACGGTCAGCATAAAGAAAAGCTGCTTTAGTGAAGTTTCACCTTTAAGAGCCATGTTTTGAGAAAGAAAAAAAAGCTATCTCTAAAGAAGCTTAAGCTCTCTGTTTCTTGAGACGAAAGTTATCGCCATAAACGTGGAGTAATTTGCTTTTAGGAAATGAGTGTGTGAGTAATGACTACATTTGAGCAACAAATTTGGTATAAAAGAGAGATTCCCTTGGAAGATGTGAAGAACAAAAAAATAGTTTCGCAAAGTGGCATTGTCTCTCTAACATGAGATTCTCTTCAATAGCCTTTAATTTGGATTCATTGGATATAGTTCTAGTAATTTTTCTTTTCATTTATTTTGATAATAAAGTCTGTAAAGATTATTGCCATGATTTTTTTTTTTGAATGAATGAATGTTAAATTTATTCAAACCAATAAAAACTCTGTTTCATAATATATGCCATGAATATTAGTACGCAAATCTTGTGTAAATATCATATTTCTTCAGATATAATATTGTACTTGCTATATATATATTATTTTATTTCATTTAGTCACATTGTACTTGCTATATACTATTTATGTTCTGCAAACATTATTTTTTACTCATGAATTTTGATTACTTTATTGATAATTCTTCAAAAGTCTTTATCTTTCTATTTTCGCCAATCTCTTAATTACACTTTTTATTCAAAAGTTTTTTTTTTTTCCTTTGAGTCTAATTTTTTTTTTTTTGAGTCTAATTTGTGTATAATTTAATTTTATCATAAATACAAAAATTACGCATAGAAGTTAGAGCGCATATATGTTTACGTGTATATATATATTCGGCGAGTTCTTTTAGTGTTTATCATTCGACTCTCTGTTTCTCAATTTTGCTCGCTCTAGTTTTCTCGTAGAGAGTCTCTCTCTATCTAATTTCATTTTCCGGGAAAAAGTTTCTCGGGAAAATTATAAGAAAAAAAGCCTCAAGAAAGATTTATCTTCGTTGAATCGCTGCGATGAGTAATCGTTTCCTATGCTGTCTCGGAGGCGGAAGCTCAAGTAAAGTAGTGCAAGATCCATCGGAACTACCGCAACAGCAACCACAACAATCACCGGATCCATCGGATTCATCCGATACATCGGACCAACCAAATTCACAACCGCATTCATCAGGGGAAAGTGGTGACGACGAAGGTGAATTTGGGAATAATACTTATGGAAATGACTACACACAAGAAACTTATCGTTTTCTGATTTCTTGTTCCACAAGAAACTCTGTTTTTAGATAAGTACAAACAAATCTGTTTAAGTGTTTACTTCTTTTGGAATTAAAAGTAGTTTTGATCTGGTTTTTACTTTCACATGACATTTCTGCGAGTGAAAGTAGTAGAGTTCTTCATGTTTCTCGATCTTGTGAAATTGATTTAGGGTTCTTGTTCTTCATTACCTCTCTTTCTTTAGATCTTGTGAAGTGGATTTAGGGTTCTTGTTCTTTCATTCTTAACTTTTAGTAATTCATTTACAGGTCCGAGTACAGGAATTAAATTTCGATGGCGTGAAATCGAAGACGGAACCGAAAACTTCGGGATAACACACTTGATCGGCCAAGGCAACTACGGCAAAGTCTATCGCTGCAATTTCCCAAGAATTCATAAGGTATAATAACCCAAAAGTCTTGTTCTTTATGGTTAAAATCCGAAACTCAATTGCTAAATTTAGCAACTTTGGTGTAATTAGGTTGGAGCTGCAAAGATTCATAATAATAATATCACAGCTGCTCTTAGTGAGTTCGTAGCAGAGACTACAACGTTATATGCAGCTGATCACCCAAATGTGATTAAACTTCTTGGCAAATATTTTGGAATACAAAAAAGTGTCCTAGTCTACGAATTCATGCCTAATGGCTCTCTTGACCACCATCTCTTTGGTAATCAATAATCAACTCTGTTTAAGTTCTATACCAATTCCAGTTTTGTTAACTCTTTCTCTTTTTGTAGCTCACGCGAGGCAGGTTCAGGGTCTAACGAAGCCAACTCGGGTTTTGGATTGGGACACAAGGATGAGAATTGCTGTGGGTGTAGCCGAAGGTCTGGTTTATGTACACCAGGGGCTTTATGCGATTCACAGAGATGTCAAAGTCGAAAACATCTTACTTGACAATAATTTTGTGCCGAAGTTGACTGATTTTGGATTTGCGACTAAGATCGTTTACAATACAAACGGTGTTGAGAGGCAGAGGGAGTTCAATTCGAGTGGAACTCAAGGATACATAGCACCGGAAGCAGAGGAGTTCGGGTTGATTTCGACAAAGTCCGATATCTATAGCTATGGAGTTTTTCTGTTAGTGCTTTTAACTGGAAGGAAAGCTTATGATATTAAGAGACCTGTTGCGAAAGAGAAACTCACTGATTGGGTATGACTCAAACTTTGTATCTAGGTTTTGCTTTTATACGTTTCGTGTTCCGTAAGTAATGTATTAATTTAGGTTTTCTCGGATGTATCTTTTTTTGCAGTTAATGCCAGTATGGACTAGATTGGAGTATGCGCCTATGGTAGTTGATGTTGCCCTCGGTAATAAGTATTCGGTTGAAGGTTTAAACCGCCTATTTCAAACTGCGAGGATGTGTATAAACGCACAGGCACTTGAACGGCCTGCGATGGATTTTGTGGAAACGATGGTTCGTGAAGCTGCAGCTTTCCCAGTCCCAGAAGAGACCCCGGTGACCGAGAGGTGTTCGACTTCGACATAAGAGGTTTTCTCAGGCGGTTTTATGTAGGCTTTATTTTTTTGGTGTTTGGTTTTTCAGAAACATATTATAGACTTGGTTGTGTAACGGATGGTTTTGTTAATGCTTCTTCGATTTGAGACAAGATCAAGGTGTGAAACTTTTGAGACAATGCCATCTGTGCAATAGTTGTTAATCAACGACTGAGATCTCTTTGTCTTCATTTCTCTGTTACTAAACTTTCTTAAAATAGGAGAGAAGATGAGGGAGAGGAAAAAACAGAACAGAAAAGTTCTTACCTCTGGAATTTTCTTAGATCCTAAGTCTTTCAAAACAATCTTTTTGATTTCCGATGCGTTGGTTTGGATTCGAGTTCCACGAGAACCCACTAAATCAACTGGATCAGATGGATGATTCTTCAACTTTACGAGACATGTTGTGAAAGATCTCGACTCTTGATCACATATACCTACAAGGCCACAAGAAGCTTTACCGGCTGTTAGGTTATCTTTAGACCCAGGTCTCTTAAAATGCCTCAATTGAATTTTTTAGCGTTAACATTCAAAAATTAATGTTGTTTTGATCCAATTTGGTGTAGGAGTCATTTGTTGGTATTGAATCTATTTGTAATCACGTTGATATAATGGAGGAAGCATCAACATCGACATCAGCTGCAATGGCTGCAAAACCAACCGTTGTTAGAAAGACAATGGCCAAGCAATTCACCGGAAAACGTGAAGATTCGCCGCTCCATTCGGCTGTTAGACGCGGAGATTTCTCTGCGGTGAAAGATATTTTGAGTAATCATATGGAATCAGAAGAGGAACTAAGAGAGTTGTTGCGGAAACAGAACCAATGCGGTGAGACCGCTCTTTATGTGGCGGCAGAATATGGTGATGCCGAGGTGGTTGCAGAGCTCATCAAGTACTATGATCTTGAAGACGCTGAGACCAAAGCTAGAAATGGGTTCGACCCTTTCCACATTGCTGCTAAACAAGGAGAATTGGGTATGAATTTTGTCGGTTTTCTATCAAAAATGATGAAAATTTCAATCTTGGTTGATATTAAGAATAGGGAACTAATAATCACCTAACCATATGAAGAAAGTTTTGATCTTTGTTTGATCTTAAGAATTGGGAAGAAACAATTACATAAAAATATGATGAAAGTGTTGTCTTTGTTTGATGTAAAGAACCAAATTCACATATCGAAATTTCGATCAAAATTATTATTTATATAATCATGAAAGTTTCCATTCTTCTTATTTATTGAGAGAATTGAGTGGAAACAATTTCATAAAAATCTCATGAAAATTTTCTATATTTATTTACATGTGTGATAAATTGATGAAATTTGAAATCTCTTTTTTATAGACGTTTTGAGAGTACTAATGGAGGAACATCCGGAGCTATCAATGACGGTGGACTTATCAAACACGACGGCTCTACACACGGCGGCAGCTCAGGGACACGTAGAGGTCGTAGAGTATCTACTTGAAGCCGCAGGGAGTAGCCTAGCCGCGATCGCAAAGAGCAACGGAAAAACAGCATTGCACTCGGCTGCTAGGAACGGTCACGCGGAAGTGGTAAAAGCGATTGTGGCGGTTGAGCCGGACACAGCAACGAGAACGGATAAAAAAGGTCAGACGCCACTTCACATGGCGGTGAAAGGACAAAGCATTGATGTGGTGGTTGAGCTAATGAAGGGACATCGGTCGTCATTGAATATGGTTGATTCTAAAGGGAACACTGCGTTACATGTTGCTACTAGGAAAGGTCGCATTAAGGTTCGTTAACCATCTCCAATAATTCTTGTTTTCAAACGAAATTTACTATTTAAAATGGTAAAACATAAAATGTACATGCAAACATAAAAACGTTTTGACATTTGACGAAATTTATATGTTGCAAATTACATGTAATGCCTATAATTGGATAAATCTTTGAATTTGTAACTTAGGGAGATTTTAATGTGATTGCAGATAGTGGAATTGCTTCTAAATAACAATGAGACAAGCACAAGTACAAAAGCGATAAACAGAGCCGGAGAAACGCCGCTTGACACGGCTGAGAAAATCGGCCATCCCGAGATCGCCTCCGTTCTCAAAGCCCGCGGCGTTCCCTCGGCTAAAGCCATCAATAACACTACTCGGCCCAACGCGGCTCGGGAGCTCAAACAAACGGTGAGCGACATTAAACATGAAGTTCATCACCAGCTAGAACACGCTCGAGAGACGAGGAAACGCGTTCAAGGAATCGCCAAACGTATTAACAAGATGCACGTAGAAGGTCTTGACAATGCGATTAACTCAACCACAGTCGTGGCGGTTTTAATCGCAACTGTCGCTTTTGCCGCCATTTTCACCGTTCCGGGACAATACGCCGATGAATTGAGTTCGCTCTTACCGGGACAATCTCTCGGAGAAGCAAACATCGCGGATAGACCCGCGTTTGCGATCTTCTTCATATTCGATTCAATCGCTCTTTTTATATCTTTAGCGGTTGTGGTGGTTCAGACTTCAGTGGTTGCGATTGAGCACAAGGCGAAGAAGAATATGATGGCTGTGATAAACAAGCTGATGTGGTTAGCTTGCGTTTTGATATCGGTGGCTTTTTTGGCGTTAGCGTTTGTGGTGGTTGGTGAAGAAGAGCGGTGGCTAGCGGTTGGAATAACGGTGTTTGGTGCGACGATAATGCTCACGACACTTGGGACAATGTGTTATTGGGTCATTATGCATCGAATTGAGGCTTCGAATGTGAGAAAGTCGAGAAAAGAGTCGATGGCAAGATCGAGACAATCAGGATTGTTGGAATTTTCTGGGATTTTAACTAAGAGAATGTATGCTATTTAGTGATTTAGAGACAAAGTGTATGTGATAAGTTTTGTTCTTGAAAGATCTTTTAAAGATGTAGAAAGTGTGGAAGAAGGAAACGAAGTTAAATCGTGAAATTTTGTTTTTTCTTCCGTTAATGGTTTATGAGGCTATTATTGTTAGTTTGAAACTTAAAAATTAAAATGTTCTCTCTTCAAAAGTGTATTTAATACAGCGTTTTGAAATAGTATTGAACTTTAACCATTAATTTTTTTCATTCTATTGAAACATGTTTGCTTGTTCATCGCTGAAATTGAGGAGTAGACAAACTATGTGTCAACACTTTTTTTAATTAATTTTTTTTATCTATATTGTAAACAAAAAATAATTATTTTCGTAACATTTCATTAATTCTATATCCATGCAAAAAAGCATGGTTTACTACTAAACTATGTTTAAACTACAAAGTACAAAGAGATAACAATAGCACACAAATAGACATTATGCAACATATTAAGCCACAAAGACAACCAATGAAATAGACACTTATGATTATAATAATTAAAAAATGAGAAAAGATGTCAACATCAAAGATGAATCATAACGACATTATATTGACATTACAAAGTTATATGATCCAAATTCCTAAACCCAAGAAGAACAGAACAATTCAATATTCCTCTCTTTTGTCCTCTTCCATGGATTCTTCTTCTCTTCTTCCTTCTCAATGGTCTGATCTTCCTTTAGATATGCTTGAGTTAATCTCCGATCATCTTAACGACGACGACTCATCAGACACCATTGATCTCCTCTGTCTCCGCTCTGTATGTGCCACTTGGCGTCTCTTTCTTCCTCTCTCCAACAACAACAACAAAAATCCTTTGTCTAAATTCCCAAAGTATCTTCCTTTTTGGTCATCTTCTTCTCCTTCTTCATCCTCTGGTTTCTTCATTCTGAAACAGAGCACTGTCTATGAACTCGAAGCTCCTTTGAATCCGACTAGCTGGTTGGTTAAGCTTCAAGAGACATCTCCAGGGGAAATGCGAGTCTTGGATCTCTTCTCAAACGACAGAATCTGTTTCTTACCAGAGAATTTCCCGGAAAATATCGATTTGCGGGAGTTTCATGTGAGATTGGTTCGTCGAAATTATCGTATGGAGTACGCAAAAAATGGTGGTGAAATGTCTCGTTTTTGGTCTTTAAATTCCGACAAAGTTGTGATTTTGTCTTCAGGGGAAGACTCAGCGATAATGGCGATTCACAGTGGTGGGAAATTAGGGTTTTTAAAAAGTGGAAACGATGAAAGATGGAAAATTTTGGATAATTCGTGGAATGTGATTTACGAGGACATAATGTTATACAGAGAGAACTGTTGCATCGTTGTAGACGATAAGGGTAAAACCGTAATTTACGATGTGGATTTCAAGGTTTCGGATTTGACTGAAGGTTTGGTCGGAGGAGGCGGTCACAAGAAGCATCTAGTGGAATATTCCGGCGGAGAAGTGTTGCTAGTGGACAAATACGTGAAACACGTTTGGTGCAAATCGGAGGTTTCGAAATCTGCGGTTGAGTTTAGAGTTTATAAGCTGAAGAGAGAAGAGAAGAGATGGGAAGAAGTGAGAGAATTAGGAGATGTTGCTCTGTTTATTGGAGATGACTGTTCTTTCTCCGTTCAGATTCCGACCGGAGATTTGGCCGGAGGTTTCATATTTTATAGAGATTATAGGAATGGAGGAGGAAGCAGAGGTGTTTGCAGTGACGGTGATGGTGTCTTCAATGTGGAATTTGAGATGCAGAGTGATTTTGTATTTCCTATAAAGCCCAACTGTTTTGGCCCATAACATTATTTGGGCCTCTAGTTCTATGGTCCAATTTTAAATTAATGAATTCAAATGGCCCAAACGTAGTTAAAAATTTTCCGATGATAATTATATCGCAAACAATCACCTTTTTAAGACATTTTGGTTGAGTTTATATACTCTATACTCTCTAGTCTAAAGTATTATAAAAAAACTTTAGACTAGAGAGTAAAGAGAGTAGATCACATTCAAATATACATACATGTTTAATATCCATGAACAAATGAAATAATATGATATGTGAATTAATTGATGTTTCATATTCATGATTACAACATCTAACGTTACATTTGCCATGAGAGAGAGGTAACCAAAGTTTTCAATTGGTTAGTTTCTTGTCACATTACTTTTACAATAGACGTTAATGCTTTGGGCCACTATTGCCTTCCCACAAATTGACATTATGTAGTCGGTGGTAGAACAAGTTTGAGCTTGATTTTATTGAAAACTTACGCATATAAACGACAAAGTTTTAGTTGATTGAGAAGATCCAAGAGATAAAATCCAAGTGAATATATGCTTTTGATCAAACGCATAATTCTAATATACATGAACAGATGATTTATATCAATTTGTCCCATCGGCTTTCAAATCCATGTGTACCCCCCTAAAATGGGTATACTTTCAATCCGGTTCTTGCTCGGGCTAGACCGGGCTGATCCGATCAATGACAAGCAAACCGGAAGGACCAATATGTTTCTTTGTGAAAAAATTAAAAATCAGAAAAGGTCAATACGAGACCAAATTAGAGATGTCAAGAAAAAAGAGAGACCAAATTAGATACTCTTTTTTTTGGGGCTAAAACGTAGATAAAAATCTACATAAACTTGGAAAATATACTATACGTTCACAATTCAAAAACTTGGAAAATAAAATGTAAATCGATATACTAATTACTAAATGCCAAATTTCAACCGTAAAAGTTTGTTACCTTTGGTTTACTCGAATTCAACTATGACAAAGAAAAAAAAAAACTCTTTGTGTTTGTGAGAGAAAGGGGGAAAGAGAACACATGGAGGCAATGATCTATCTATCTGTAAAAGGTTACATAAAACAAGTAGCTTTGTTTTTTCTTCAGGTTTTAAAAAATCATTATTCTCTCACTCACCATTGCAATTGTAATTTTCCTATTCACAGATCCAAAGTGTTTTCATTTTCTTGGATTCTGATTCTCCCAATTTCATTTTTTTCTTGTGTGGGGAAATCTGCATCTTTGTCCACTCTTCTTTTTTTATTTTCCCAAGAAAGAAAACAAATTCCCACAATTTTTCTTGTCTTCTCTTCAACTTCTTCTTCTTAGTTCAAGCTTTTTTTTTTGTTTCCCCAATTATCTCTTTTTCTTGTTTGTTTTTGAGATTTCTACTAAGAAACTTAGCTTAATTTTCCCGCGGGAATTCTCTTAGAATCATAAAGTTTCTTTTGTTTTTTGCTCTCGTGAAAGTTTGAGAATTTTACTTCTTCTTCAATGGCTTCAAGAGAAGTATCAACGATGATCAAACAAGGGTTTATCGCAGACCCTTCTCTCTCTTTTTCTCCGTCAAGAATCACATCTCCGGTTAAACTCTCCTCCGCCTCTCCTCCGCCACCTCCTCCGCCGCCGCCACCGCCAAACGTATCGACTCACTCAAACCCGACTCTTTTCGACATGATGTCAGACGAGCACAACCGCGAGCTACCACGGAGGAAATCTCACGCGCGTGTGGCTCAAATCTTGACGGAGTTCAAGAACGGCGTCGTTTACGGCCATAGTCTCGGGCCAGGCGACGTTAAGCTGACTGTGGTGGGTAAAGACGGTTACAGAGTCACCATGGATGTCCATAGGAAGGTTTTATCAGAGAAGAGCAGGTTTTTCATGGAGAAGATGAATTCTAGAAGAGAGAAAGGAGTTTCTCACATGGTGGAGATAAGTGAGTGTGATGATTTGGAGATTTATGTAGAGACTGTGGTTTTGATGTATAGTGATGATCTCAAGAAGAAGTTGATCGGTGAAAATATCATCAAAATCTTGGCTTTACTCAAGGTATATATTTTCCAATTCGATTTTGATAAGTGTGTTCTTGGTTTGTTTTGCTTTGGTTTTAATGTGTGAATCTCATTTTCTTGGCTAGGTTTCTGCAGCTATCTCGTTTGATGAAGGAGTTATGTCATGTTTGGAGCATTTGGAAGCTGTTCCTTGGTCAGAAGATGAAGAAGAGATTGTTGTTTCTTGTCTTGAAGAGCTTCATCTTCCTGATGATTCTGTCACTTTGATTCTTCAGAGAGTTTCATCTCAACCTTCCACTTCCTCAACGAGAACTAGAACTGATGATATCTTCTTGAAGCTTCTCACTGGTGTTTTACAAGCCAAAGATGATAAAGCTCGGCGAGAGATGAAAGTTTTGATCTTTAAGTTGGTTAGAGAAGAAGCTGATTATGATGTCTCTAAAGACACACTCTATGGTTTGTGCCATCGATGTCTCACGTCTCTTGTGCTTTGCTTATCTGAAGTGACCACACAGATGAATGATCCGGGGATAGACCGTGGTGCTCTAATGGGAGAAATCGCCAGAGAAGCTGATAACATGCTGTGGATGGTAGATATATTGATTGAGAAGAAACTGTGCGGTGAGTTTGTGAAACTATGGGCGGATCAAAAGGAGCTAGCGAATCTTCATTCGAAGATCCCAACGATGTACAGACACGAAATAAGCAAGATCACCGCTCAGATATGTGTTGGTATTGGTAAAGGAAGGATCTTGGTGAACCGGGAGACTAGGTTTGCGGTTCTGAATACATGGTTAGAGGCTTTGTATGATGATTTCGGGTGGATGAGACGGTTATCCTCAAGATCTCTGGATAGGAAATTGGTGGAGGATGGACTCAGCCAGACCATATTGACCTTGTCGTTGAGACAACAGCAGGTGATTCTGATGAAATGGTTTGATCGGTTTCTGACCAAAGGCGATGATTGTCCAAATGTTCAGCGAGCATTTGAGGTGTGGTGGAGAAGAGCTTTCATAAGACAGGTCTTGACAGAGCCAGATGCGCCGCAGCTGCAGATTACACTCTATGACTAACTCAAAATAGAATAAGATTGTGACCCTCAAAATGTCAAATCTTTGTTTTCTTTCCTTTGATAAACTGTTACTACTTATGAATTTCAATGGGATACCAAGATTCAAAAGAAAGTGGCTCAAAGATATATCGTCTAAAACAATGATCAGAACAGAGAGAAGAAAATAAACTCGGGGCAAACAATCTTTCCCCTTTGTAGATCAAAAAGAAAATCCGAGTTTGAATCTAAAGTATGCTGCAGTATCCTATACGGGGCTATCGAAATTGGTAGATTGTCACTCGGCCTTTGCTTAGCCGTTAGTATGCAAATTGGGAGGTGGAATTAGAACCCAAGAATTGGTTTCATCTGCACTGATCTTGCGTTGCTTGTCATCTATATATATTCGGCACGTGAACTGCTATGAAACTTTGTTTCTGTCTTTTCAAGAGATGATTGGATCAGCTCCATATTTCAACTTAGGCAGATCGTCGGTCCTGTAGATCAAGATTAACCGCAGAGTTAGTTTACAAACGAGATTCATATGGCAATGGCACCAATTGAACTAAAATGGTATTTGGTATCGGAATCTCTGAATACAATGAAAGGATAAGTATTAAGCTTAAGCATAAGTTTAACGTTTACATTTTTGTCTATATAAAAAAGGGCACTTGAAACAAGATGAGATGTCGCATAAGTCTATCAGAGAACTCGAGTAATGTCATAAGGAAAAGTCACAACCTCAACCTAAAAAACAGAGAGGAATGAAATCTGACCTTTGGAGAACTTTGAGTATTCCGGTTCCGAGCTTCATTGGTATGCCCATAATCACACATTCTGTAACTCCCTCTATGTTATCAACCTTTCCGCTAATAGCTGCACTAAATAAATGATCTCCAGTCCTCTCAAAAGATGCCTGCATCAGCACACTTTTGTCCATCTTCTGAATCCCGGTTCTTTGTATCCCGAGAACCTCCCCCTGATCAAGAAATTGACGTGACATTTATTCATTAACATGACTGTATTGGAAATATATTATTAAAAGAGATCATAATAACAGATTCAAGTGTCCTTAGAACTGACCCTGTAAGTCATGACATCAGCCAAAAGCATCATGTGACGGATGTCTATGCTCATACCATGGTTTCCCATAACTGTCCCTATTTCATCAATAATTGTTGTCCTTGCAGCCTCGATTCCAAGTGTTTTGCTCACTTCAACAACATTGTTACTTGTAGTAGTTCTCCCATTGATTCCCGGTGTCCCCATAACAGCCAGGAGGTTTGTGCTGAAACATATATCAAGCAAAATATTCAAAATCTAAGATATCATGCACAATTTTGTCGATGACTATCCTTCGAAGTACTGAGTCGGTTATTCATAAGAGTTTCAAACTGGACATGTATTTGTTTCTAGAAAGCGTTTTGTTTAGTTCAAAAGTTTGGTTTAAGCACGTGAAATACTGACAATTCATATCAGTGGCTTACCAGAAACAGAAACAAAGACTGCTTTTTTTTTTTTGTCGTCTAAACAAAGACTGCTTAATGAACTAAATCAAGGATTCACCAAAACAAACCATGCCCAACGAGGACATGAATTATCAGCGAATCTAGCACTTATAGGAAGGACAAAGGACAGAGGAAAATCTCATCTCTTGAAGCTCGAGAAAACTTACCCCTCGACAAACAGTTTCCACCTTGTCTTTCCATCTATCTGTTTATTTTTATCCATATCCTCTGCGACAACAACTCGCTCAACTGTTTTGATCCCCTATCATAACAATTCAACAGAATGAATTCTCTCGGTCGGTGAAAGAGAGATTGTACTAAAAGAAAGAAATTAGGAAAAAATCGTAAATTTATTGTATATATATGTAAGAGAGAGGTTTAACGAATATCACATTCACTATGATATTTGGCAGCACATTCTTCAGATTGTGGAGATTGAAATGAGTCCTACTTTTATCCACCACAGGAGTAATATCCAATCCCGTATCTAAAACCCTAATATCCTGCAAAATTTACATTGCAAAGAGACTTAAGATCTGAGTGCACCACAATGAAAACAGCAATAACAACTAAGGACCTTACATTATCGTTCAGTTTGATTCTGGGGGTCTTTAGGATGGAATTTTTTACCGACCAGGGGCTTATAGACAAGCATGCCTCCTTGATTATTTTATTGTCAAGAATTATTCTCACTGACGCTGATGTTGAAGTCATTAGCACCTCGATACTCTCAGCAACCTGGTCCATAATTCAAGTGGAATTTGACAACATGATTGGTAAAAACAGTGATAAACAGAAAGAGTATCTAATAAGAAGGTGCTGAACCAACGATCCAATAGTTGATATTTATAAATTGCCATCCGCAATATGGACTTAAAACAAGCAGCGGCGACCATCAAATACTGGATATGTAAAAGAATTCAGATCAAATTGTAGAGGAAAAGAGAACCTGTCCTAAAGTAGTTTTTTCAATGCGTCCTTTCACCCATCGCGCACTAGTCAATTCCAGGGGGTTCTCAAGTTCTGCAGAGATGACAGGTGTGCTTATATTTTTAGAAGCATTGATAATTTCATTGATTCGGGGGACTCCTTGTGTGATATCTGAACCAGAATTAAGAAATCAAAACAACAACTACTCATATGTAAAATAAAAGCACTAGTTTTATAGCGAAAGTCAGAAAATAAGCATTTTCAACAAGGATACTCATGCTCGCAACTCCAGCAAAGTGAAAAGTTTTCAGAGTCATTTGTGTCCCAGGTTCTCCAATACTCTGAGCTCCTATTGTCCCAATTGCAGTCCCAGCCTCAATTTTTTTTTCCCGATAGCGAGATACACAAATTTTTACAAATACCTGCATATTTATATATATCAGATGTAAGATTTCATATTTTTTCCTAACACCACAACAAATGGGAAAATTTCTTCAAATTATAGAAATATCCACGGGAGAGAATAGGTGAGATAATTTCTCGTTAATTGGATGTAGCTAACAGTATATATGATCAAGGACTGGCACAAAACTGAGATGCAAAATGCACCGAGTATTTTTCTTCTCCAAAAAAGGAAGAGAAAGAGAATCACCTCGAGTTGCTTATCAGTCACACCAGATGCTTTATATAAAACCTGAGGCGGGCGTGCAGACTTTACTCCGAGCACGGAAACAAATTCTCGAAGAGATTTCACAAAGGCGTCAGTGCAAACCCGACTTTTATCATGTCTGACTAATTCCTCTTCAAACTTTTGGGACAATTCTTCTGAGGAAAGATAACTGTGGTGAGATCGAGGAGGACATGTGGCCTACAAAATGTAAGTACCGATTGTGACAAAACTTTAAATAAAGAGAGACCAAAACCAATATACAAAAATCCAAAAAGCACCTGAATTTTCAGAAATAATCTATCAAAATTTAAAGGAGCTCCATCCTTTCCTTCCATTAGTGCTGGGTCCATTCCATCATCCCCATAAGTAAATTGAAGTATACATCCGCTGGCATTTCGCACTGTGTTATCATAATGGACTAATAGATCCTCCAAAGCTTTCATCAGTCTACGAGACATGTAACCTGTACTGGCAGTTTTCACCTGCAATAGACAAGAATATCGTTACAAGTTACAACAAGGTGAAGACCATCTTCGGTCCAGATGTTAAAACACTGTCACGGTGTCACCCTTCAGAGAACCATCATGGCTGTCTCTTTCTATGAACAACTTTTTCATATTTTGCCAGGATGGAAAAAAGAAAAGGATTTATGCATACCGCTGTATCAACTAGACCTTCTCGTCCACCCATAGTGTGAAAGAAAAATTCTGTGGCAGTAAGACCACTGTAGAACGAATTTGCAACAAAACCTTTAGCCTGCGATGGCAAGAAGACATGAGATCAGGGTCCTAGCTCTCAAAGTAGTAACCGGAAGTTAGTGTAATCAGGCTCCCATAGGGTGATGCCCAAGAAGCCTACTACAAATTATTCAGTGGCGAGTAAATGGTTCTACTTGTTCAGGACACCTCCAATAAATAGCTTAAGAAATTTTCCAAAACATTTCTGATAATTAGGAGCGCTACCAGCATCCATTATGTTAAAGATTGCTCAGAGGGGTTAAAATACAGGGTAGTAATTGCACCGCAAGAGAGATGAAAATAGCACAAAAACTTAAAAGAAATAAATCAGCAATTGGCGGAGTGGTTGGCAAGCCGTTTACTTACTGCAGGTGATTTGGACATCCTAGGGAAATGAGGAAGACTTCGATCTATAAATCCATCAGGAGCACGGTGACCATTAACTGTCTGCTGTCCAACACATGCGACCATCTGACTGATATTGATAGGAGATCCTTTGGAACCACATTGTGACATGATCAAGGGACTGTTTCTCCAATGTAATCCGCTCATACATGCCTGTATATCAAAAATAAAATGACAAGATGAAGCATTAGTATTTTGGTAGGTAACCAGGATCTGGATTCATTGTCATTTGAATACAGTAGATAAGCTATCAGAGATATTCCTTCAATATAGATTTTTTTACTCCTTACTCATCTTGGAAAAATATATCACTCACCTTTGAAACAAGATACTAACGGAATTAAAACGCAAAAAAAAAAAAATTGATTGCAAATCAAAGTGTCACGTTAACCCATACATGTATCTTAGTAAATTAAATCACATATGTACCTTAGAACATGAATTTACTAACTGAAAATAGAAGCTACGTATTTACCTTCCCAGTGGCTTCTCGAATTGTATTGAGAATCCCTGTTATTTCAGCTTCTAAAGATTTTGCACCATCTAGACCAGCTTTAAGTTGCAAATTTCCTCGATTAAATTCTTCAATTTTGCGATGGCACTGGTCATATCCGAACTGGATGCTATCTTTTCTTTCCTTATTCAACTCTTCACCAGGTTGAACGTCATCAATTCCAATGGAGAAGCCATGGATTCCAATCCACCGAGCACTGCACAAAACAAGAGAAAAAGCTACCAGTTAGACAAGAAAACTATGCATTTACTCGTTGCAGCAATGGCAGATAGCATAGAAAGGTCATAGAAAACACAGCACATACTAAGCAAGAACCGAGAACATTTGAAATTATTATAGAGATGAAGCAGAAAAGCGAATGAGCAAAACAAAGATGGATAATAAAGATTGAAGTGTTGCTGCGAGATCAAGGAAAAATTAGTCAGAAGAGATAAGACAATCC